AATAGGTTAAAAGTGACGAGTGATGTAATATGCTTTATTCATACAATGACTACTGACAGAATTAAATTGTTCGCTAAATTTGTATAACTATCGTGACTGTTAGTAGGAATTTAGGATCATGCTGCTTGTCCCATTGATTATAAATTTTAACTTGCGAAATAAATTTTGCTTCCGTGTGCATCTATGTTCTCACATGCTATGTTTTTAATTTTGTGTTAACTCTTTCTTGTAATTCTTTCTTTTGGCTTAACATTTGACACTTCCTTAATCATTCTTGTAATTTGAGTTAAAGAGAATAAAACACAGTGCGGATCTTTCTATTTAGTAGTTGACAAATATTTCCTTTTTTGTTTAGAAATTTTCGATTTTATGCCATTATATTTATTTCAACGTTTTTATTTTCTTTCCACCATTATTTTTTCTTTTCTATTTTGAAATTATCATTATCTTTAACCGTGTGTTTTCAATCTACTTTTCATGCTCTATCACTACACCTCTGCAGAAATTGATAAATCTCACGATGAACCTAAATTCACCTATGGCACAAGATACGTAACGGACAATAAAAAAATATCATAGAAAAACATACGACAGTTAGGGAGCTACCATGGGGTGGGGGCTAGAATGAAATTTGAAAAAAAGGCAGGACAGGAGTTTTGAGTAAAAAAAATGCAGGATGAGCAACTTGGCAGAAAAAGGCAGGATGACAATTTATGTAAAAAAAGTCACGATAAACTAATAAAAAAATGCAGGACCGAATAGAGTGAAAAATAAAAAGGCAGGACAGAGATTACAACTAAAAGAAATGCAGGCAAAATTTTTCATCCTAGCCCATCCCCCCCCCCCCCCCCCCCCCCCCATAAAAATCAAATGGTTGCTCCCTTATGACAAAAATAAAAAAGAACAAACAACAGTAAAAATCACCCTACATCAAAGCTAAACATTGAATACACCAAACCTTTCAAATATTCCTACATCAAAGCTTAACATTGAATACACCAAACCTTTCAAATATTCCTACATCAAAGCTAAACATTGAATACACCAAACCTTTCAAACATTCCTCCATCAAAGCTAGACATTGAATACACCAAACCTTTCATATATTCGGCTTTGAGCATTCCTGATGAAGGTAAATCAAGAAAAGCGATTCGGACGCATGAAATTTATCACGTGTTGTTTTTATTTTTTCCAAACACACAGCTAACTTCTTATAGGAATCATTGCCATTAAATGAGAATTTTTACCCTTCTTGGAGATACATATAGCGACACAGGCTATTTAGAGTCTCTAGTTCAGTAATGCCCCCAAAGTATATGATTCCATTTCCTAAGAAAATTAATACCAAGTGAGAAGAATTATTGATATTTGAATGGATTGCCAAAATTAAAATTGAATACTTGGAAAAAGCAAGTACATACGTTTCCCATTTTAAATAATAGTTCTTCAAAGATAGACTAAACATCTAACATTTTAAACATCAAGGTCAGTACTTGTCTTAGTGTGTCTTTTTCTTCTAATTAAGACTGCTTGTCTGACGAAAAATCCCATAATATTTCAATTACAGTCTTTTGTTTTACCCGACCTTGAATCTAACTAATGATCTTCCATACTCGAAACAATATCAAATTAACGTTTAGTTCAATTCTTATCTTTGTTTTCTTTTCTAACTTTTATTTGTAGTAGCTTCCTTAATTAATAGTTTTACGTTTTACCAATGTTTTACTTTCTCTTATAAAAAGTAATTGAATTTCATATCAAACGAACTCTTGTTGACCTAACCATCCATCGTATGTATTAAATTTTTAAATATGAGTTTAAGGAATTATGTTTATCAGTCATTAACGAGTAATAGGATTTCAAAGCGTAGGTGTAATTGAAAATATAACCAACGTTACGATCGAGAAAACAGTAATTGTATCAAAATATTCCATTTCATCAAGGGGAAATGAAAGACTGCAGTCAAAACGCTTAATTTAACTTAGAATATTTTGTGTAATTTATAATAACATCAAGGAGAAATTAATGCTTATTACAACATTTCCCCCGTAATAATTCATTTCGTTATATAATGTGCAAAAATGTTTTGTTGAACGTCGCCCCCAAAAATAAAACGTAATAGTTATTTTACCGTAAAGAATTATTTTTTACTTTATCCACAAGCAACACTTTACAAAATCTATAATTCATTCATTCAAAATTAATCGCTAAGTGTTCTTAATAAAATATATATTATCATTGTTCAATCTTATATAACAATAATCGGATTAGCGTCCTCAGGCCAAACTTCATGAAATAGCGACAATTGCTTCTTTGGAGTTGACGAGTATAAAAAGATTGTAATTCACACTTTAGAGTGACGTCGGAGTTTTTTTTATGTCATAAAAAAAAAAAAATAGAATAAAAAAGTGTAGATATTGTTTTTAATTACACCTTATATAAGAATGCCGGATTTTGATTGGTTGGTAGCCAGTGTATTTTTCGCATATTCTAACCCTTTTTCCTCATTTCAAACGAATTTGCCTGTTTTTCACCACTGCCGATGAATATGCCTCAAATTCCCCTCTACACCGTGGTAATTGCCATTTTGGATATTCCTTTTTTACCCTCGCGAGCCTCTTCCCGCCAAAGTTATTCGGAACCTTTCTCACCTTATCCCGATTATTAAGGCAACATGATTAAGCAATATTGATTGATAGAGGTAATCCGAAAACTGTAAACAAAAATGTCAGACAACACGACTGCACGGCACCAATCTCGAGATCGTATATTGAAGAATGCGTTGTGTATATAAAGTGGAAAAAGACATGAACGATTTAATGATGGAATGACAATGACGTATACACATGGATACCATGACGTTACATAAAGACAGCGCTAACGCGTATAAGTACATGTATAATTCCCGCGGTACTATGATAGTCTCTACTTATCCTCAAAATTATTCATAAACATGTCTATAGATTACAGCTTACTAGTAAAAAAAGAGATATATCTTCACCTGTACAGAGAGACTCAATCAAAATTTATTCGGTGTAATCAAACAGATATATCATGTTATGGAGGGTATTTGCGAAAAATACCAGTTTTGGGACCAAATTTCCCTCGCCTGGCGGCTCGGGAAATGTCACAGTCCTTTGACTGGTATTTTTCGCAAATACCCCTCCATTACATGATATATTTGTTCAAAAACCACTGATTGTGCAAAAAAAAAAACTTCTCATTGTGTTAGAACCGTAAAGGAAAACGCACTAACACGTGAACAGAAAGAAAACTAAATGGTAGAACATTAATATGAAATACGAGAATCGTCCAGCTCGATGTTATCTTTCTACATAACAAAAAGTCACGAGTTATAATTTTGATATCGCAAAGGTTAGTTTATCATTATATTGAAATTAAATACCTAGAGTTGATATCAAGCGATATTCAATTTTCATTTGTTATGAAACCTAAGTCTACATGATGATTAACAGATGGCTTAATTATATATAAAAAAAAGGTCAACTGAAATATTTACATGTGATTTGAAACATATTGCATCATCGATCATGAAATATCCACCTGGTAATCATATGATCTACATGACGATTAACAATGGACGTAATTAATAGATTGAAATTCTAATATGACGTTCTTCAAACGCTTTGAGTACACACCCGTGGTAAAATATGAATATATTGTATGTCATCTGATCGGTAACGTCATGATTTGTTTGGGCTGTTTTGATTATACTCCCACGTCATGTGCTTTTTTATGAATGAGCTACCCGACATCAATCGGTGTAAATGACGTCATTGAAAGATGACGTAAGAATATAAGCATTTAACGGGAAAATGCACGCTTGTGAAAACTGAAAGTCATCAAAACAAGGAAATATAAACAAACGAGGATAAAATTTGTTAAAAGCAATTTATTTTACATATAAGTAAGATTATCATTTAAACTCATTCTAAGTACGTTTATATTGTAAATAGTTTAAGCGTATCACTAGTTCAGTTTTCTCCGTTCTTTTACGTCAATATTGTTATCGCTATCGCTCGTGATAAAATATTTAGCATAAAGGGCCAACCCGTGGTAAAATCAGTATAAATTCAAGCCCCATAAATTATTTCTTAATTACTTCATCTGAAAAGATTTTAACTTGTGATTTGAATCTTTGCATCATGAAGTTATACTTCAAATAACCACAGCAATTAGATCTCAATGTCTGCATGAAGATTGTAGAAAAGGGTTGAGTAAAATAAAACAAAATACGCGTGAAATTATTGTAAACAAATATAACAAAATAAACAAATAGGGGGCGACCTTTCAAGAGATAACTGTGTTAGTATTGTTGGAGAAATTAAAATGTCAATTACATTCCGGAATTCAAAATGTCGGCGCCCCTTAGTTACAGACAGGTAGATAGAGAATTGTACGCTGATTGTCATCCAATCAGAACCATTGATACACAATAATTGCATAAGAGTTAATATTCTTGGGGCAGAATGATTTTGAAATGTATAATATGGCCTGGTAAAAACAGAATTTAAATGAATATTTTACCCCGAAAATGCAATATGAAAGTGTGTACTACAGTGAAAATAAATTTTCCGTCAGATAAAATCGCCCTCTGAATATCAAATGATCGTTTCCTTATAAGTATCAGTCATAAAACTACCTATTTCATATCTATACCTGCATAAAATAAAGAGCCAATGAGAAAACTTTCCACCAGGGACCAAATGACGTAGATCTTAGCAATCATAGGTCACTGTGCGACCTTCGACTATGTGCAAATTCCGTACCGCAGTGTGTCTTATCATCGGCAATGTTGGTTGATAAACAAAATATTTGACATGTGTATGAAAACTGTTATCGATTGTTTCAAGCATAGAGTTTGTTATAACAATGAAGTTTTCTGCATTTTTAATTCTGTCATATTTCAAAAAGATTTCTAAAATCGAATATACTTAATAATAAAGATATACAATTTGCTTATTCTACACAATAAATACCTTTCTATCATACAACTTAGCATCAATTTTCTTCAAATCAATGGCATCTTGCATTGAAGCTCTTCGTTGTCTTTGTGATGGCAATGGTGGTAACCCGTCATTTGCAAACGAAAAGGACGAGGATGAGTCACGGAAACCAGAAATAGATCCAGGGGTTACATTTCCGGAACTTCCTTCTGAAACAATAATATTAGGGAAAATGTAAACTTCTGTATTTGCATGTTCTGGGTTTGCTAGATTAAAGTTAAAACAAAAATGAAACCGAGAAAAGTAGTGATTATCTCCAAATAAAATTGAGAATGGAAATGGGGAATGTGTCAAAGAGACAACAACCCCATAGAGCAGACAACAGCCGAAGGCCACCAATGGGTCTTCAATGCAGCGAGAAACTCCCGCACCCGGAGGCGTCCTTCAGCTGGCCCCTAAATAAATATGTATACTAGTTCAGTGATAATGGACGTCATACTAAACTCCAAATTATACACAAGAAACTAAAATAAAAAATGATACAAGACTAACAAAGGCCAGAGGCTCCTGACTTGGGACAGGCGCAAAAATGCGGCGGGGTTAAACATGTTTTTTGAGATCTCAACCCTCCCCCTATACCTCTAGCCAATGTAGAAAAAACAAACGTACAACAGTACGCACAGTAAACAAAATGACAATAATACATAAATAACAACAGACTACTAGCAGTTACTGACATGCCAGCTCCAGACCTCAATCAAACTGATTGAAAGATTATGTCTTCATCATATGAATATCAGGCACAATCCCTCCTGTTAGGGGTTTAGTATTATACCATCATAAAATATATGAGAAGAACATAACCCGTGTCATGCCAACAACTGGTTTTAGAATAAATATGTTTAATTCCGATGCAAAGACCCTATAAGTGAATCAATATTAAAGCCAAAATATGCAATCTTTAATGACCTGACAACAGTATCGTAACTATATTCCTTCTTAATAAGTCTGATTAAAGGTTTTGTTAGCTTTTGAGGTGAATACTGACATTTTTGTGCTTTGTAAAGAATATTACCATAAAAGATTGGATTTGAAATACCCGAACGTATAAGATGTCTGCATGTTGAGTTATATTTACGAATGATGTCCTTATACCGATGATAAAATTTAGTAAATGTTTTGACTAGTTTATGATATCGAAAACCCTGATGTAATAATTTTTCAGTAATACATAAATTTCTCTCGCTAAAATCTAATAAGTTGTTACATACACGAGCGAATCGTACAAGTTGAGATATATAAACACCATAAGATGGTGACAAGGGAACGTCACCATCTAAAAATGGATAATTAACAATAGGAAATGAAAAATCATCTCTTTTATCATACATTTTTGTATTAAGCTTCCCGTTAATAATATAGATATCAAGATCGAGGAAAGGACAGTGGTCATTGTTAGTATTAGCTTTATTTAAAGTAAGTTCAACAGGATAAATTTCTTTAGTATATATACTGAAGTCGTCATTATTGAGAGCCAATATATCATCCAAATATCTAAAAGTATTGTTAAATTTTTGTATCAGATGTTGTTTCGATGGGTCTTTGCTGATTTTTCCAAACATTGATAAAAATTTCAGATAAGCAGCCTTTTTAAGGTGTTATCCCTTCTCAGCTTACATCTAGAAATTGACGACGAGGTTCGGTTGAGAACTAAACTGTACGACAAAACAAATGATTTCAATTCTCCCATTTTGAATTTTCAATTACTATATAGCAGTATCCAACAGTCACATATGGAGTATACGTCTCTTAATTAATATAGTATTTAATTTTTCGTTTCCTTATGATTTCCTTAATAGTGGGCTGATGCGTAAAAGAAAGCTATTATTTCAAAGTACTTTAATGGTAAAGTCGAAGTCAATCCTTCAAAGTTTTAAAGGAGTCAACCTGATTTAATTGACCGTTATGGGATATCCGTGTCACTTGTCTTAGCCACAATTCTCTTTTCCTTGATTGTGCCACCATCGACTTATTGTTAGATTTTTATTTGCCACGAGTTAACACGACGGTGCCACTAGTGGGCAGAAGTTGCTCACCATTACACAGCACATGAGTTCAACGCCGTTGATTGGTGGGGTTTGTGTCGCTCAATCATAAGTTTCCTGTCTTATAGTTTGCATTTTATAATTTTTATATTGGCATTGGTATTGTTCGTTTTTCTTCCGACTTATTGTTTTTGACTGTCCATTGGTTTCTTTGTTCCTTCTTTTTAATTTAGGTTGTTTAAATGAAATGCAGGACAGACAATTAAGAAAAATATGCATATTGGTATAGAGGAAGATTTATATAATTTTAAATCGTCGTCCAATCAGACAATTATGGGGAATGACACATCATCTGTAGTGAAAGGTGCATTAAACAGTTACATGTCAAGATATTTGGTCATATTTGTTAAGTTCTATTACTTTTTGAATTATTTATCATTGTCTTATATTTTAAACAGCTCCCTAATTTTACACCAACTACGATAAAAAAAAACTTCTTATCAACTAAAAAAGAAAGAATATTTGGAAATGTCAGTTAAGATTCTTGAAAGCTTACACTTATTTATTTTCAAGCTGTTCAGGTTTGAGCAAACATACAATAAACATTTACATTGATATTGGTTGTTACAATTTTTTTTACGCATATCATTTGATAAAAAAGAACATTGCGTCTTATTAAATATATTCATATACAAGTGTTTGTAACATATGCTTGGACATTTTCTTTGTCAAAGTCATGCTTAATAAGAAAGAAAGCACAGAAAAATCTCCTATGCACATGTACGTGCATACGAACACGGGAATGAAAATAGTTTAAATATCACGAACTCGGTACAAAACCACGCTCGATTGTGTATATGTAGTGTAGTTCTTCATAATATTTCGTATTTATGTATTTAATAAATCCTTGCTTATCTTGCATGTGCAGTCATGATTTATATCCTCATATTATTCGATTTAATTTGATCGTTACATAGTTACAAACGTTATCAAAGACTCTTGTTATCAAGATTTATTCTCCGATTACTCATGTGCATAAAAAAAATTCTGGAATATAATTGTATGTAATCCAATTTTTATAACTTCGTTTCTTGTTTCTCGGATATTCATTTTATCCGAAATTCATTTCATTACTACATGAAATCGGAAGTAGCACACACTAGCTGTTGTGACATAGTAATTACACAGTGCCGTCATGTTAGAGATCGATCTATCGTGCTAGGAATTAAAACAGAAGCAAATCACCAAGTGTCACTTCAGCTTCCAACAATTCGATTATTACACAAATATATTTGATTAACTGTTGATCTGGACGCTATCAAATTGACTTCCTCTTAAACTTAGATTACACATATGACAACTTGCCAAGTTTGATTAAACTAGAAATATAAAAACGTTTGTTATTATAAAAATAGTATACGTCTATATGGATATAACACAGATTTTGAATGTACCGTTAGGTATTATTTGTGTCTAGACAAACTAAAGGGGGATGATCGCACGTAAACTAAGCCCAACCCCACCACGTTGTGTAGCCTGTACCAACGCAGGCTATTTAGACAATGTTTTGTTCGTTGTTGTCAGTTTCTGTTTGTATGTCATTGTCTGGTTGTTGGTGTTCGTTTTGTTTTCATATGATCCAGTAAGGGCCATAAACTTTCCTTTAACAGTCATAAACTCTCCCCTATATAGATGTCTTCTGATTCAATAATTTAATTTATTTCATAGACTGTCAAAATAAAAAATACATCCGGATGTGACTGCGTTTTCAGCAAATTGGACGTCCCTCAGAGTTGCTGAAAATCTTGAAAAAGATGTTAAAAAGTGTAGAGCTATCTAACCAGATCGTGGTTTACAAAAATGTCATAAAAATATTCTGTTATCATAATCAAAGGGGATATAAGGACATTATAAGTCGAAGAAAGACGGAAAACTCAATTGATAAAAAAAGCAAGTGAAAAAGACAGACAACAGTTAAAAAACTACAATTTTCATTGATCTATATAATTTCTACAAGAAAAAAAATACAAAAACAGAAAAGAACAAAAAAGAAATAAACAAACAAACAAACAAAAAATAAGAGATTACAAGAAGGGTAAGCACAATTAAGACTTGTTACTTTTGGCAAGTCAACATTGGTGAAAGTTTCTTTGACCTTTCAAGAGCCTCATTAATAGTCAGCATTGGTGATAGTTCTGCAGACCTTCAAGAGCCGCCTTGTTTTGTTTCATTATGTTAAAATTTGAAGCAACTAATGTGGTGTCCTTGATTAAAATTAAAACTTAAACCTTAGCGTATTTAGGATAACACATTTAGGATAACCTAATTATCGATATATAAACTACCTATAATTTGAGACTTTTCCAAGTCACGTTGACGGGAAGTCTTATATATAATATTACAAAAATGTTATTTTAGAAAGAGCAACTTTAATGTCAACGCAACAAGTATTAATGAATATAAAAATGATATATAGAAAGTATTGACTTCTTTGGAAAATTAGATAGTTATTTAATAAATCAAGAAAATGCTATTTCGGAGATATGTTGGGCATTATAGACGTAACTCCGATAGTTTATTTTTGGAAAAATTGGCTAATATAATTTTCTAGTCTTTGGTTTTATAAAGGTCATCTTGCTCATATAACTGGCACTTCAGACACTATTATTTCCTGAAAAATAAATTTTATCTTTCAAGTTTTATCAAATGATGCGAAATCTTTGAAGAAGGAATCTTTTAGGATACCAAAGACGTAATCTCAGATCATATTTTTTTTAAACTTTTGTATCTAGAAATCCAACTAAATTTTATTCGAGTGTTAAAAAAGGCATACACTGCATAGGTTTTGTAAAATGAAAGTAAACATGTTTGAAATATGATCAATTTTCGAGTAGATGTGGCTGATTAATTGTAAGATTCGTCAAATTTACCAGTACAAATGATTGGTTGCTGGTAACTGAACGTCCTGTAGCAGATATTATATTATATACATCAAACCATTTCTAACTTGTAAACTTTTGAGGTGCATTTAGATGAACAAAATGATGTTTGCGGTATACGTCAATTTGACAACAACCAAACGAAACAAATAACCAAAAAATAAACATACAGCCTTCAAAAATGAACACGTGTCTTTGCAATATGGCATGCTCTAAATTGTCCTG